TCTTCCACTCCTTCGAATTATTGGACAGTCAGAGGGTAATAACCAAAACCGCCAAGTCAAAGTGTAAGTTTATTGGTTGTACAAAATGAGAACCGAAATTGAACTTGTCATACTCAGTGTGTGGTCAGATTGTTTTATATTCCGTCCAGGAATAAAACCACACGATGATCCGTTTCTTTCCTATTTGTTCCTTAAATTCCGCCCAGTGATATGCGATCACAGCTGTTCAGTCAATCATTTCGCTTCCAATTAAGCAAATACAAATATCCGGGCACAAATTTTCCTGTTTGTTGGGCCTATCATGTGAGCCATGACCAGGTACGCCAACTGGTGCTAAGCCCCGGACGCCACCACCCCTCCCAATTTTGATGCTGTTTTTCTCATGACGGGGGGGGGCATGAGAAAAACAGCATCAAAAATGCCGTTTACCATAGCTCTGACACCTTTTAGGAATGCCCGTTCGGTGGCTGTCACTGCACCCCTTCTTTGTATACGCTGAGGATACCGGAATGAAAATTCAAGGAGGCCAGACAGTGAAGAGGCTCTCGCGTGTGTGTACGAGCTTGTCTACGTCCGGAAGAAAAGGTCAGAAATGAATCGGGTCCGAAATCCGTGAAGGTCATGTTGTTGTTGTTCGTAACCGATAGTGAAGCTAGTTGTACCCTTGTTCCCTTGTCCTCACATCCCAACAAATGTTCTCCCAAAAAATCTTCAACGAAAAAAAGCATATCTACCCCATTAACTCTGTCAAACACACAGAGCTTTCTTTCTTTTACCTTGTTTATACTGTTATATTTTTCACTATTCGATAACGATTCTTGTACTGTGATTTGTGCGGCAAACAGTCTGAACCCAAAACAGTGTGAACATGATAATAATTATAAGACAGTCATATTAGTGGGATTGGAAGGGGACGAAGAAATATGAAATGGAGTACAGACAGTAAATTGAACAGAAAAATTTAAACAGTCTGCTCAACCGATCATTCTAATAACAAATAATCCAGGAAAAGTTTGTTGTCCTTTCACTAATCATTTCAAACTGTACGGACAATTCACAGTTGTTTATACACAAGTCAATAAAGGATCCATTTGGGTTGTAGCATTTCATTCAGATAATCTAAGGCTCATAGATTTTCCGTCAGATAGGAATGAAGGAATCATGTGATACAGAAACTTATGAGGTTCTGTAAAACACCGTTTATGAGAGTAGTGGAGGATTTGATTTGATTACCCGATGATTGCATCGTGTAAATGAAGCGTGAGTTGAAAAGCTAGGAAGCACTGGGCAGCTGTTTCGACCTGGTTGGGGTCTCATCAGCAGTGCGTAAATTCATCCACCCAACTGAGAATCGAACCTCACAAGTAGAACGCAAGCATACTACCCACCCGACTACTGGGCAGTTGATCAGACCATTTTTCATTTGCAATAATACATAATATAGCACAACCTATCTTGGTGAGCTTAATGCGGACATTACACCTCGTGCCGTTTTGTTGAAGAATCTATAACTGTATGCTACTGACAGGGGTTTAGTAGACGGAAGGTACTTCACAGAAAAAGTGTACATCTGGTGCCATCCATCGACCACATGTATGAACTGAACAAGTGGTAGCTAATCTAAAGTCCACGAACAGAGTCATAAAATCTATACTGTGATTGGAACATAATACCCTGGAAAGATGTATCGAATTTCTGCGGCTCGAGAGGCACCATCGTTCAAGTTGAGGCATGCTTCAGATTGCCTGGTCATAAGAATGTGTTGATTGAAGATCACGGGCGGATCAGATATTTTAAATCGATACAGACATTATTCTCACAAAAAGAGACGTCTATTCAACCGAAAAATGAGCAAAAGATCAGTAAAAATCGTTCGAGATAAGTTTTCAATTTGCGGGAGATAAGTTGACTTGGTTATAGCATTCATTATCACGGTTCACACACTCGCTGAATGAAACCAATCGCGATACACTGTAACTATGAGAAATATGTGATTCGTTAGCCAGACAATCTAACAACTAGCGTCTTTTCTTGGATTGAGGTGACCGTTTCTGTACCACGGTCAATTCAAACTTAGTTGGAACACCAAGTCACGTGGAATATTCATCCTACCATACAAACATGCCTCATATGCATCACTGAGGGGAGTTGGAAGCTTTGTTCGAAATCGTTTGTCAGTGTAATGCCCATTCGCCGAGTATCAGTGTGAGATGTTTTTGTTCTACAAGAACAATGATCTGATGGGACACCGAGGCACATTAAACTGATAGTGGGACCCAGTCTCCCAGGCCGCAACCATTGGTTGTACGTCAGCATCATCTGACCTAACACGTATCGATCTGAGTTATTGAACGTGAACCATTTCGAAACCGTATTTCCAACGCGTTTTAACGATGAATGTGAGAACTTAAGATTGCGAAATGCACCTGTGTCCAATCATTTGAACTCAGATCAGTCAACTGACAGTGAACTGCGTCGGGTTGTAAACAGTGGTGATACAGCGACCACTTGGTGGTAGAATTTGGTTTTACCAACGAGAAAATTTTGTAGCGAACCTAACTTGCTTTCGATCACTTCTTTCTCGGGCTAATGCAGTTATACATAAGCTTCAAAATTGTCGAATTGGTGTATTGGTCTAATGTGATGAACATGATTGGTTGATTGTGATGTGATATGTGGTTTGAAAGAGGAAGAAATAGTCGAAAGCAAGCTTTGTTCGCCACAGTGCTTTCTTAGTGTCAGTGAAAGTGAAGAATCCAAGATCGGATGGAAAACCCTGGATGATATGCAATTTTTTTTCTTACCACTATGAATAGGTTCTGTCAGTCAACGATACCTCATAGAATTTCGATGCATATTCTTCGAGCAAAGAAAGAAATCAGTACTATCGAACTGTCAAACTAAATGGGGCAGAAGAAGACCACAGTTGGCATAGACAAACACATCTTATTTATCCGTAACTTATGATATTGCAGACAAATGGTTATTCAGACGCGCAAAAGTATTCTTTCCAGTTGATTGCAACGCTCCCAACTCCGAATCGTTTCATCACGCTGGTTCATCTGTTACCCTACACACCCAACCATTGGCAACTCGGAAAACCGAGGGAAATTTCAAGCTAATTATAGACTAAATGTCTTCTGGTAAAAAATAATCGATCCCACAAGCTGGTGTCGGAACCGCGGCTAGCGAATTTAGTAAATCGGTATGTTCTGTACGGGAGACTTCTAATCCATTAGTAAAGATATCCGTAAATTATGCATTGCACACCTCTCACTCTTCGTCACTTGACCCCGGTTCGTTAATTGAATGAAATCATTATTAGAGGGGAATGGAAGCAACTAAATTGCATTATATAGATCAGAACAATGGAGATTGGCGTTGACGGTCTTCGTTCTCCGGTCAAAATATGTTGCTTCACTACCAGGAAGCAGAGATTATGATCGAAATCACCAGCGTGTGTGTGTGTGTGTGTGTATGTGTGTGCGGGGGGAGGGACATCATGCATCAACAGTCCCAGTGACAACAACGATGCACGTTTGAGTCTTCTCCCAACGATAGTAGTCCAGATTGTATCGCTCACGTAGCCCGCCACAGCACAGCACAGCACAGTGCAAGTATCACAGCTCCGCCCCTCCCACCTCTCTCTCTCTCTCTTTGGCTCCTACCGAAAACACATGCGACAAGCGGACGAAGCAACTCGATGACCAGTATCCACTATCTGTGTATCCCCCAGTTCTATTGACTCAGACATATACAAGAGAGGAAGAAAGGGTGGGCTACAAACGAACATGCAACCGACAAACCTCGCTTCTCACATTCCCCTCAGGCTACCACATCCAATCCGGTCAGCCGGGAAATATCTTAACGCAGTGCAACACAGCATAAGGTGAAGTAGAACTCTCTCTCTTTGCGTGTTTGTGTGTGTTATGCACAAACGAACACGCACGCGTAAAACAGGAACAGAGTGAGAATGGGCGAATCACCGAATACGATATAATCTAAATGGGGTGTGGGTGTGGAGTAGGGAACTGGGAATGACCAAACATCAAAAGATGAGACTGAACGGACCCGACGATTTGTGTATGCGTCTGAGTGCTCTTGGTGATACTGTGTAAGCACGATTTTGGAGAGTTACGAGTGAGATGCGGAGAGATCAAGGTGGAGTGCAGCTCAGAGTTGGGCAGCTTAGGTGAGTAGTAGTTCGATTGGAACCGGAAACGAGAATGGGGAGATTGGGACCGGTTGAACACGCGCGGAATATGTCTGTGAGTTACCCTAGGGATCTAACACCAGAAATGCGTTGCGTATAGCCACTATAAAGGCGGCAGGCGATAACTAGAGCGGCATGAGACCCAAAACTGACGGGATTGTCCAGTACATAGCGTGAGCAATATCTCCCAAATGGGATAATGTCTCGGTGAAATGAGTCGGCTAGCTTTCGGGGTTGGCAAAGATTATGGATTCGAAATGAAAACGGAGTCTATGCTTGCAAAAACACTCGCTTACAGCACCAGCATCCGATAGACTACAGAATATGCATACTACATACGGTATACAATATATCTGGTATGATGCGGCAGAAGCCAAAACTTGTTTGAAGTCCGAATCCATCGGTGGGTATATTGACACAAAGGCACTTGGGAATGCAAGGTATCAGGCGACAAAACAATACAAATCAAACCATAATAGTTTTATCCTACATCTAGATTATGAAGAGTAGGTATGTGAACCTGGATGACTCCTGGGACTCCATCTGACATTGAAATCTAACTCCAGGACATGGCACAATAATCAACACAAACACGGCATAAAAGTGCCACAACCGACATCTCGTAAACAGCATTGTGTAGTTGTATAATACGTACCAATATTGATTGGTCAGGCTGCAGATAGCTGTCACCATTTCATCCCGAATAAGAGCAGAAATACGACCAAGCATATATAAAACAAATTTTTACAGAATGATACATATGCAGCAGAAAACTTCACCAAATCAACTACTCCTCACCATCGACAGACGTCATGATTGTCGGGAAATCCAAATGCACTGTAAAATCAAGTGTTATTGGCGTGGTATCGAGAGCGTAACGTTCAATCCCATATCACTGGTCAATCATCATCGGCGCATACATGAATGGATAGACTTACCACCAACACCAACACTACCACACTCAGGAATTGTCGAATGACACCGTGGGACTGAGTTTCGCGATCCGTTCAATTCTCCGTATGGTCCGGATGAGGTAACTGGTTCGACGGGAATCCAGCTCGGACGGGCTTGGTGCTGAACAAGCAGACCGGTAGTCCATGAACCACAGACGACTTGAGGTAGCTGGGGCCGAAGTTTGGATTCGTAAACCAAATGATACATGGTCTGAAGATCGGGCTCACCCTAGAAATGGATCAGGTAAATACGTAAGAAAGTCAGTAGTGGTATTTGTAGTAGTAGTAGTAGTAGTAGTAGTAGTAGTAGTAGTAGTAGTAGTAGTAGTAGTAATAGTAGTGGGATTATTAGGGCTGGGTCAGTTTTATAGAACAGGTCGACAAGATATGTATTATAATGTGGAATTTCGAGTATCACATGGCACTATTACGATAAAGCTTTTTCGAACTGAAGAATTCCATCTTGAACAGCGCAAAGTAATATTTAACCTATTTACTGATGTCATTCGTATTTGGACGCTTTTTGGTCGTTGGTAGCAATCAAGCACGACAAAACGCTCTCGCAAAAGACTGATAACAGAATTCACACTGTTCATTTCAATAAAGCTCGTGTAAATACCTCTTACCACAGTTACACCGACTTGAGAAGCACATACCATCACTTCTCTCATGAAACCGGAATCATGCATGAGAAAGAATGAATTCCCATGATTCTTTGCACGAAATATTTTCCAAATTTGATCTGTACTTTCGAAATACTATGAATTTTATCGCGACACTCAAGGTCACGCACCGATTCAAACGGTGATAGAAAAGATCTAAGAACATAGATGTTGGAGATAAAGTCACGAATAAACACACTTCACCCATAGCCATCAGTATGATGTTGGAAACTGAGATGTATTTCCAAAATGAAAGTGATTTTAAAAGAGTTTGCTTAACACCTGCATGCCAAACTCTGAGGCTTGTTTTGCACAAATGACTACAGTGCCCGAAATACAGAGTAATTGGCGTTTCGTGAAAAGCATCAGTTCCCTTTTTTAACACCTCACGTATTGTCAATCGGTTCCATTTTCGCGTTGACACTGAATCACATAATGACACGTACGTACACTGAAAATAAACAAACAATTGAAACATAATTCATATTCTCTCTGCATATACTTATAGCTCTTCAATTTTACCAGCGACGTTTACACGTGCCACCCCATGGTTTAACGGTTCTCACGCTTTTTTGACGAAAAAAGACTACAATGGACACTGGCAGATGATGTGTAAACCAGGTGCAAAGCTCCGTACGGAGAGATTAGGCAGAAGAGTAGTCTTTTATCTTCTGGGGTGAAGTCGGAAAACTTCACCTGCAACCAGTTGGATGGCACAGGTGAGCGAGGCGACAACAGTGCTGTGTGGTTGTGTTGCAGAGTACTCTTTGCCTCTATCCAACTGAATGTTTGCTGTGGTGGCTTCTTTCGGATGACTATTGCACAATAAGTGATAGACGCCTTGGATAACTGATATCTTTTGTGAGCTTTACATGGAGTCGGATAGACAGTGGCATTCACCTAACCCAGGCTGTGAAAGTAAAAGTATCGCCCAATTGGAATATCAAATGTGACGAAAACCAGGCAAACGGTTGAAGCGGTTGGGGATTTTCGTCTTATAAACGAGCAGTGAAGATTTGACTATTAAAACTCCGAAATGAGACTTGATGGAACTCAAAATAAGTTACCGAATGGTTAGTGGTCTGCATAAATGCATTGTTTTACAGTTTGTATGATGGCAAAAACCAATTTGGTGTGTCGATCTCTCTGCTGAGATGCTTCTCCGATCCAACAAGCGACCCTCGATCTCGTGCAGTCGGAATGATTACAGTTTGATGAATCTATTACACAGCTCCATGATATTCAACGAAGTCATTGTTCAATCACAGTTCAATCACCTTCTACGTCTTTTTTGATCATTTACAGATTGGTACGAATAAGACGACCTTTCAGGCAGGAATACTTCAGTTTAATTGACTGATACCGAATATTGAGATTTGCTCATGTGATGCATTGGCTTGGTTGAGACGAAGCTGTGTCTCAGTATTTGTCATCTGCGTTCTGGTTCACATTGAATCCTGTTGAATTATGCATAAAATCAAGATCAACAGATTGAAAAAATCTCTTAACTGTCGATCGAATTCGGCAGGGAGTTGTGATGGTTGAACTATTAGAACTATATCGTATTGTTTAAAAGAATATACATTACTACGATTATGCAAGATTGTCAGTATGTATATCTAACACAGTGACGAAAGGAGTCACTATCCTGCACATTCAGAAAAATATGCGTAAGCCTGAAAGCAGGCGCGTCTTCTTCAACCTGGATGAATGAATTGTACCTAACATTTATCAATAGGTAAGGAAAGAATTGCGGAGCTTGTTCCTTGCAAAAACCAACCGTGACATGGCAAAGCAATGCTAGAAGGGATAAAACATTCGCAGTTCAAACAGAATGTATTGTTTAGAGAAAGTTCGTCTAACCAAGAGTGACGGGGGTGTGTTTCACCGGGAAACCGAGACAGCGAGAAACGAAATCACTATTTCAAGATTGATGTGTTGATCTTTTGTCCACCAACGAAAAAAGTCGGAAAACAGAATGAAACTGGAAACGGGACATGATAATGATTGGGGTGGTCGGGTATGATGGTCTTCTGAATACCGGAGAATTCAAGTGGAATGGAATGGAGCAGACGGAAGCAAACTTGGCCAATGTCTAACCAAAATTTCACCCCTTCCCGCCGCCTGCTCTCACTGCTCCTTCTCCTCCCCCTCTTTCTCCCGGTCTCAATGATTCTCCTTACTCAAGCATGGTGAATGTCTATCAACCCTGTCTTACTTTGGACAAATACATCAGTACTTATGTGCACCTATATCGACTGAGCCACACCCATTCCGAACGAAAGGAAATGAATGGAATTCGACGCCAGGTGAGTGTAACGTCGGAGATGGCAGTTAGCGATAGCCATTCATTTGTCCGATGGGACAACCCAAAAGCTTTTGTATACCGACCTATCTGACTACCTACCTACCGCTGTGTGTCACATGACATGATTGTCATATTTGTGAGCCAGTCCATTTCAGAGTTCTTTCTGCATCTAATTCTAGATATGAACGTGTATCTTGTTCCCTTGTCCTATCCATTCGGGAATAGTCGACCGAAAAAAAACTATCTACATATGTATGTCGGCAGCTTTATGCATGCAAGCAAGATAATAATCAAACAGGTTGAGGGGTATTGCAGGGGAAATGATTACTACCTTTTTCAAGTTGTAGAATGGCCTTATAACAACCAATAAAACCGGATATTTGATTCTATCGAACTCGGAGCAGACCGGATTTCAGACGGAGAAATTCGGCAAAAACAGATACCATGAACCTTGACTACCCAGCCGACATATTGTTGAAGGATTTTGCACTCGACTAGACGAGACGGTGGGATACATTTTCCGGCAGAAAAACTGTCAGAGTTTCGCCATCATAGCAGTCTGCGAACTTTGCACTACGAATGCTGCTATGACTCAGTCAGATGTTTTGTCGTAGACTGACTAGCACACGTACCTCTGTGAAATGGTCAACGAGCACGCATGAGTAGTTCTTTCATACGGACACGTACTCAGAAATGTCAAGCGGCCTATTCAAGGGTTGATGATCATGCAGGGATTGGTTGTTGTTGCCGCTGCTGCTGCTGTTCTTTTTTCGTTGCCGTTGTCGTTGCTCCGCGATTGGTTCTGGAACAGATGATGACTGGCCGAGGGGTTGTTTCACATTTGTCATTCTGTTTGACGGTGTGCGCTCAGGCTTAGTCACTAAAGCTTGTGGTGCATTCGCCTCACAACGGGGCGCCAATGTGACCAGCACCGACACCGACACACACACACACACACACACACACACTCAAATTGCCCACGTGTACACGTCAGTGGTTACGGCCAGTTAGCACGCGAACTCGTACCTATACACTTTTCCATTTGTCCTTTTTGAACTCAAGGGCGTGTAGAAGTAGGCGGCAAAACGGAAAGGAGATATGTAACACACACACGACGGTTCCACTCGGATTGATCCTCGGCTCCGTTCTACTGTACGGAGGTGATCACCGCGTCATTAAAGATGCAAGAGTACGAAGTACCAGTAGATAAAATGAGCTAACCAGTTCACAACGCCTCAACGAGGATTGGAAAATCTATCGCGTGTTTGTGGTATATCATACACGTGCGTTGCATGTATTCGTACTGTTGTCAGTAGATTAGACATTCGGTAAAAATTGAAAGAACAGTTAAACACGAAAGCTTTGAAGGAGGGTTGACGGGTCAATAAATAGAGACACTGGGATTTGGCAAAGGAATCGACTAGGTATCATTTTACATACACACATGAACTGGGTCCCTGGTGCCGGTTACCAAGGCGCAGGTCCTAATGACTATGGGGTTAACTATTTCTTCTGTTCATCACGATGAGGTGAGCAGAAAAAATAAACGAATCTGTGGATTCAAGAAGAAACTGGCTCAAGACAGACAGTATCATTCGGACGATAACAAAATGTCATCTATATAAACAGTGTGTAATTTTCTGCAATAAACGACAATATGTAATATGTAGCGCATACGTCTAGGACGACATCGACTCTTTTTGCCAAACTGAATTCAACCGATCGGAATGAATCAATGCCAGCGATTCAGTTTTTGTTTTCCTGTGCTCTATTCTATGACGAAATAATCTTTTCCATGGTCCATGTTCTATATACAATCTAAATCTTTGTGGAGCTGGCGCGAGAGATTACCCCCTCCCCCGCCCCGCTCCGCCCGCGACGGCGTTCTGGTTCGAACCTCAGTGGTGAACAAATATCGCTGATGATTCCTAACGAGCTTCATGGAAAAACCAAACCTTTTTCAGTGATGAGTGATTGAATGAGTGAATTGACTCAGTGGGTATAAAAAACCCCGAACAAAAACAAACCTCCAGAACCATTTCTTTTTTTTCATATATGTGTTCTCGCGACGAAACTTTGACGACGCATGTGCACGTGTTTCATGGGTATGGTTCTGTTGGGGGTAATAACAGTGCTAAATGGTTTGTTGTTACTTGTTTTTCTCATAATTTTGACGTCACATTGAAGATCACGTCACTCCACACACTGGTTTCCAGGTTTGCCACGAAGTTATGCAATATGGATCAGAACACACACACACACACGTTACCTATGTTCTCGGGATGGTGCGCACATGAGAATAGAAGTTTGAGAGAGTTCTATCTTTGTATACAAGAATAAAACAAAATAGATACTTATCTACATCATGAGCATTGTGAATACAAGCAAATGTGGGAAATCGGAAAGCGACACACCTGCATCCGTGCTTCCTACAGGAAAAAAGAAACGATAGGTTGGAATAAAATCGACCGGGCTTGCTAGAAATCCGTTCGACCTTGTTTCTGGTCTACACAACATTCCGGTCGAATATGGGTCACGTGAACCGATCGTGTTAACCAGTTCGCAGACGCCAAATATGGGGCAATTGTCGATAAACACACACATATGAGGTGCGTGTGATTGGTGTTGGTGGAGTCACGGTGCACGAGATCGTGATACAATTGGACGTATGGTTTGTTGTTGGATTTTTTGCGTGTGGATTGGAAACAGAGTTGCAAGGTGACTTTCAGTCGATCAGTCAGACGACCGATAATGAATGACCGTTTGGATCCATCAAGCAGTGAATATTGGATTGATAGACCGGGATGTGGTACGGAGGGTGGGTGGGTGTGTGGAGTCTGCGTGATTATGTGACAGGTGTAAGTGGACAAAAATGCGGGATAAAAATGGGTCAGAACACAGGCGAGAGAGATCGAAATAGATTGGTGCACTTGGTCACCTGTTGAACCAACAGTACGACGACCAATGGATAGCGGATTTCCGGGTTAGACACGGTCCCAGTACTTGTCACTAAACAGCACTGAGAAATTGATCTGCGACAAGGGCTTTCTACTAACACCAATTATTCCACTTTAGTATTAAACCTCGAAAGTTGTGTGAGACAGTTCTTTGGTTTGAATCTATCAGAATAACTTGCGCGGTCGGAGGTTTGTTACGAAAAGTTGAGCACCGTATTGTTACCGTGCTTGTGGCATATTTCAGCCCCGACTCCCGAAAATGTCGATAAGGCGATTTCAACGTATGCCGTGATGCGGTTCGAGTCAAACAGATGGGTTATAAAAGAACTATAGAGATGTCTTTATTTTCAGGGACATCTTGAGAATATTGAGCCAACGAATGTCTACTTTTCAAATCGGCAAGGCATTTCTTTGCCCAGTCGTTAGCTCTAGAGGTATTCGATCATTAGATTGGCAACCGACCACAAAACCAGTAGAAGGTGAAGAGAGGACGCTCGAAAGACGATGTATGTTTTCTGACATCTTAAACATTGGGACTGCCTCTGGGAGATCAATTGGTTGGTTTCAGTAGTGATGGTGATTTTCAGTTTACAAACAGACACTGTCAGCAAAACTTCAGATGCTTAGCCATCGTTGCTTACGGTACCCATTAGAATGCAACTTAATCAGGTGAATAAAACCGAACAGAGAGACCATTCAATCTGCTCATAAAAACATATACTATCTCCATGCCTGCAGTTAGTTACCACAACGAGTACAATATCACGTTGCAAACTATCCTGGAGTTCCCTGCGTAGTCGGGGAATGAGGGTAATCAGAACCATTATCTGCGTATGAAGTTTGTTCATAGATTCACTAACAGTTCCCAGTGGATTCGATTGAAAACCGATTTATCCGTTTCAGGTGTACATCATTCTTTCGTTAGCGAATGCGGGGTATTTGAGCTTTGCTTCGCACTGAGTGAAAATTTCAGCGAGTACAGAGTTCCGCACATGGGGTGGGGTGAGGTGCATTTGTCTTCTTCATGCTTCTGGGTGGCCCAAAAGAATCCAAGACTGAATGAAAACTATATAAAGGTATACAAAAATTGTGGTTGTAGGCGAAGATCTATCGAGTAAACTGTTGTCCCTCGAGCCCTTAAAAATGAAAGAGCAAACATCCTCCCACGTAGGGCGGTGCGTAAATGGGGGTTACTCATGATAGATAACTTTAAGTTTGCAAAGAGTGGTACATTTTTGGGGACGTTCCACTTGGCAGTCATTATCCTGCATCAGAGATCAAAACAAAACGGGGTTCAAACATGAAGCGGGAGTAGTGCACAAGTGGAAAGGATGCTACGTGAGCGTAACGGTGCACAATGGCTCGTTGGAAATTGTTTAGTCTCCTATGGCAAATGATTTGCCCAGTTCTGATAGACTGCAAAAAATTCTAACGCGACACCGCATTACACCCAAATGCCAACAGCAGCATAGGCAATCAAAGGTGAACTAACTTACTCGTTGGCTTGGCATGATAGAACCGAACGATTCCATCCTGTTGTCCAATTGTGTACCGACTGAGCGATTAGTCACAGCCAATCCGGATCCAGGCCAGCCAGGTGTTCCGTACGAGTGTATGTATCCGCGTAATTCAACTTCATACGCAACATGAGCGAGACAATGCCATGGACATGCTTGGCGATCAAGCAACGCGTCCGGGTTGGTCAGAATGGCCGATTGAGCCGAGGAGCGGGAAGAGTCGGAGCCTCGACACTGATCGCACGGTTCGTGACGCAAACGAAACGTTTGTGGTAATGCCCAGGCGAGCAGTTCCCACAGAATTAGACCGAGTGAGTAGATATCTGCTCTTTGATGCGCCTCAAAACAGAACGGGTCCACTGACTGGGCGAGAAGCTAGTGTAAACAAAGAGAAAGATTTTGCTGTATCAAATTGTGCAATAAGAAATGCCTTGAGAAAACGGTGAAATCGATCAATTAGCAGGGGTTAGAGATAATTTAGAATGAACGAAAAGCAGTGCATAACCTCGTATACACAGGGAAGATTCGTTGGTGTTTGTTGTGACGCCGATTCAAACCTGGTAGTGATTTTCCGGTATAATAGGTGACCACATATTCACGGTCATCCAAAGAAGTACATAATTTGATCTGCACGCGACGTGATCCTGTAATAGAAAAACATTTTAAACAGTGTTTGTCCGTTTCCTAGTCAGCCTCGCAGGATGTGTTCACAAATGAACATCAAGTGTTGGAATTATTCTATCGGGCCCGTTTCTGCCAAAACTCAAATTGATTGTCTCATACCGTAATCGAACCGATCGATATCGATCACTCACAACCCGCCTGGTATTCTCATGCTAGCCAATTCCTGTCTGTAGCCGGGTTCGTATGTACAGCCTGGAGCAGAGGCTCACTTGGCTTCTTTGGTGCATGTGCATGAGTTCTCATGTACACACACACACACGTACTGAGAGAGAGAACATGAGTGATATCAGACGTAGGTAACAGGAAGAATAACAACAGATTGAGCAGAGAAATGTGCTTTCTGTGCACGCGCAAGTAGGCACGTACGTACGCACTCGCTCGTTCGCATAGGACGATAATGATGGCAGTCGAGCGCAAACCCCTCGGTTCACATGCCGGGGCATGTTCGAACACGGTTGGAATAGGGCGAACCACGTGCACATTCACTCACGCAGTGGTTTACTCGCACACTGAAGTGTGCCTTTGTGCATGGACTATTTTGAGCTACAAGGACATTGGAAGACTGGTTCAAATCTCCCACGTAGATCGCCCCGATACCTACACACACCCACACATGCCGAATTCACAGCGAAATAGGTAGGTAAATCAGTATGGTTGTCAATGCGACGATGCATACAAATATGCGGTGATCGTGCAAACAATGCAGTCTCTTCGAGAGAGAGAGAGAGAGACGAGAGACGAGAGGGAGAAGAGACCGGGTGAAATTGAACTCAGATTTTCATTTGCGAGACAAACTGAAATTAGCTGTTATGTGAAAGCATGCGAGCACACACACACAACTCAAGGGACAACATGTTGCACGTTTTCAGTTATTGCGGAAGCAATAGTCAAATAACGCATCATTGACATTATTGGTTATAGAAAGACAATGACTGAATTTGTGAACGATAATGCAGTTGATGTTAGACCGCCAAATGGTGATTAACGGAATCAACGAAGTTTCCTTAATAGTATTTCACACTCTGTCAAGGTATGTTATGTGTAACAGGCATAGTTCCATTCAAATCAGGGCAATTTCTTTCATGAATCTGGCGCGTGAGTGCGCTGCGTGACAGTTGTTCGAAATTTCAACATTTGATAGTTAAAACGGTAACGGAGGTACACGGAAAATACGTGTGAGAGTGGGGGTAGGCTGGGATGGTTTTAACAGCTTTTCGCTCATTATAATGTCTGCGCTTTGAGATATCTGATTGCTAATTGTAATGCTACACTCACCACCCAATCACAGTTGCAGAAGAAGTCAATCTTTATCTAAGTAACTGTTCAGTAAACAAGATAGACGAACGCTCACTAAAGTGTGGACTCAATTGGAATAATCCGTAATGGTCACGTGCGTAGCTCGAACTGTTGCATACTGCTACTATTTCCAGAGCTTATCAGTGAGTGTATGCGACACCGTATCGAAAACAATCCGTACACCTTTGTATACCCTGTTGCCTATCCGTAGGGAAGTCTGCTTGCCCTATATGGACAAACTGATAGATATGACCCCTTCCGCAGACCCTAGATGCATGCAGCACACATATACATACACGTGCACACTTCTCCAACATTGATTAAACACCATGCTGGTTGTCTCCGTCGGTAAATTTGATGGATGAATGCCCGCTACAGGAAGATGCTTACAAATTCAAACACTGTATGGGTACACGCAGGTGGGTTCTTGTCGTTAGATGTCAGATAATTTGTCATTACTAAGGAGATAATGTGGGATAATGAGCTAATATCCTTATGCAGGTTTCTCTGTAACTCACCCCACAGAAAGATGTCGGTAAGTAAGCCCACTTGACAGACGGGAAGATAGAAATAAGAGGTCGGATGGGACGGGGAGGAATAATTGGAGTAACCAGGGCATCAAGAGAGGTACAAGTGAGAAAAGATAACTATTTCTACCCATTCCCCGTTCGACAATCGCAATCATTTCAACTGATCAATGGCTTTTCTAAAACCCCACTCAGCACATGGATCTTGTTGTTACTATTGCCATTTTATTGATTTTTTCAGTCAGAAAGAATTGAAAGAGAAAACAAAGCAGATTATGGGAAAATTTCAATAGAAGATGACATTGTGGAAGATATGAGACGGTGAGAGGGAAGAGCGGAGTGGAACGGAGATTGAGAGGTCAATTTATCACGTATGTTCTGAGGGAGTGGAAAGTAAACTGTGGACTAGGATTCAAAGAGAATGTACAGTATAGACATAGACTGAACAAGAAAAAAGGAGGGTAAGATGACTGATTGAATGAACGAGTGAATTAAATATATACTTCATATACCTTTACATGATTGTTCATGTATTCGCACAAATGGTGGTGGAGGGCTGAAGATATCACATACTAAAATTGTTGTTTGTATTTATAATAATGCATTCACTGTAGTGACTCCCACCCCCTACACGCCCTAATCCTCTCCCGTTCCACCAAATAACAATCATCGATAGTATTCATTCTGGTCCACTTGAGTCGAAGTTGGGGACCGTACAGCCCAGGGAACAACCAGTTTTGACAAGGCAGTGAAAGAAGACAGGTACACATGCACAAAGCTTGTTTTCCCGTGCACTTACATAGACGACAGACGACGGTTCGTAACAAGTTCACTGTATTGTTTCGCTAAAGTTGATAGAGAGAGAGGAGTGCGTGCGCTAACGGGGCATAGCGAATGCCGACCACCAGTTGACAATCTGTAGGAATTCTAAATTGGGATTGCTAAGTGTATGTGTACATATATTTGTGTATTTGTGTCTATATGTCAGTACGTGTTTGCGTGCGCGCGTACGAGCGGAAATGTCCTGATGCGTGCCCGGGGGAAATAGATATCTACAATGGGAACAAATGCTTTCGGCTTGATGGATTAGCCATTTTCTTTTAGCACAGATGTGCGTGTGTGTGTGTGTGTGTGTGCACCTATATATTCTTGTTTGTATGCATAGATGTACGAAAGTACATTCCACATGCTTTGCCGCAGCCGTTTGAATGCGCCCGTTTCGAGCAACCCTGTTTGCCTTTGTTCTCCGAGGAATACCGTTTCTNTCTTATTTCATCTGAAAGACATATCCTTACAGAAATACGCGCGGTTGCACTGACAAACAGGTGCATTTCAGCATATAAAGAGCAATGTATTTCACTGCATCTTTTCCTCCCCCCCCCTCCTTCTCACCGAAATCCACATCAGTCTAACTTGCTTATTCTCTTCTTCTTGTTCACTGAACAGAATTGGGTGGTGCCCAAATTCGCACCAATACATATCATCACGCAAAACGCAAGCCGTCAATGAAAAGTAAGACAGTATGGTAGAGTTTCTTCTACTAACGAAGGAAAACTCTTCTACCTAAGCCTCATTTTGTATGTAACGTCCAACCTCGGTGGTGTATGCCAACCACCACCTCCACCAGGCACACCGTCACTACTGCAACTAGTACTCTGCGCAGCAAACAGCTAGGCAATCTGTCTTGTTGAAATACCGACGGACCAAGGTAGTATGTAAGGAGAAAAAAGAGAAATGATGCAGCCCCGAAACACGGTACAGATGAGTGATTACCGCTTGATGGACAGTCAGTTGTGAATTAATATGTTCTCTGTACGCCCATTCACAGAAGCGCTGATACATATTTTCGTCAAAGAGAAGAGTAGAGAGACTCTAGCGGACTGTACAAAAGTTGTTCCGTGAGGATAAATGCGTTAATCTAGTTTCTGTCCCAGGAAATATTTTCTTTCAGGATTGAGTGAATGAGCAGCTTCGGTTGCTTTGTCGTTCGATTTTACCGGCTCGATTTCGTAATAACTGACCGGTTATCAACATTTTATCCACTAAGTGAAATTAATCGAATGACTCTCGCGGGATCTCAAGTTCTACTTGGCATCCACTTCAATTACACGTCTATGTATCTATGTCCAAATTTACGACTTTGTCTTCGGAAGTAAATTGGTTGCCCCATTTTACCAACAACTTGTGCATGAAGAAATGCGTTTGAAAATAATGCCTATAAGATAACTGTACTTCTGATTCAATTTTCTGGAGAGCAGCGGAATATTTCATTTGGTAGAATGATGAAATGCTTTATGCACGAGGCANAAGTAAACATGAACTAAAAAGCTAGGAAGCATTGACTGTACAGTTGATGTTTCGACCTTGTCGGACATCAGTGTCATTGCGTGAATCCGCCTATTTCAACGATTGAATACATCGCAGGCAAACTATCAGCGGGCAACTGATCAAACCGGATGTCACCATGTTTTCATGGAAACGATGATACAATTCACTTATGCAACCGAGCGACGCGCATCTAAGCTCCCTCGTTGAATTGCACAACTCCTTTGAGTTATGATTGGGTCAAGAAGAATTCTAAACCTGATGGTGGAACAGGTAAACAAGAAGAGCTGCTTTGATTCCATCATGAAATTCACTATCTTTCTATCTATCTATCTATCTATCTATCTATCTATCTATCTATCTATCTATCTATCTATCTATCTATCTATCTATCTATCTATC